GGGGGTTGTTTTATTGGCTATAACCATACTCTCCATGGGCTGGCCTTGTCCAACTGCCCCGGAGACACCCTTTAACAAGATTAGTCGTGCACTCGTATTTAATGGGTATTTTTGGTCTCGTGGAGTGGCGACGCCCATGTCACCAGGCACTTTTCATGATTCATCTCCGTACGCAACTATTCCTTCCTTTTTTATCCTCTACTAATTTCCTTTTTTCCAGAATTTCGTTTCACTGCCTGCTACCTATGGCGGGGATACAGCGCAGCCCACCCCTCCTCCACCCCCATATGCCCACCACGTTGCTCTAGCATATGGGCCTCGCCACCACCACCTCGCAAACCTCGCCCAGTCAGTCCCGTTGACGCCCAGTGGACGTTCCATGTCACCAACCTCGCGACGATTCACCGTCCCAACCCAGCTATACCCAATATATCCCTGCCGCCTCGCTCTCGCCATCTCCAGCAACTACTAGCTTCTGCCCACTCTTAGCCATCGAGTGCATTATCGGCGGACTGATTGTAATCACGCTTGGTCTTCGGAACCTGACGACCCCAACTCAACTCTCAGGACCCGCATGAATCCAAATGGCAAACGCACCGTCCACCCAACCACGGGTCATCGCCTCCAGTCTATTCGATTCAGTTTAGACTATTGACACTATACACTTGTGAATTTACAGGCTCTATTCCAGTTGAGCGAGAGCGCATCCGGGGTCCTAGCCGAACTCGTAGGTTGGCCTTGAACGATTGCCTCATTTGGAAACCACAAACACCTCTCGCCTGCCTATCCGCCATCTTATACCGCATTCAAATCAAGGATAATAACTCTTTCTTCCCAACTCATTTGCAAACTATTTCGACGTGGCTTAACGAAAACGACGGAAAAATATATCCAATAAATTTTTATGTTGGGGATGCTCCGAAAGCGTGCAGATGCGGGATTGCGCTGGCGGCGCGCCTCCATTATACTCGACTATTCACAAAAACTACGTCTTTCAACTTCCGATACCATATTTCTGCGATTAACGGGCGTTAGGACGGTGCGGTGTGCTTATTACCGGAGCTAATACGTCAAGTAGCACGGTAATAGGTTATTGCCGCTTTCGGAGTGGGATGGATACCTTCACGTCGGTCGCCCCCTTCCCTTTTTGGACTGCTCGTCCACTCGTCCACTTTCCTTTCTTGGATTTTTTAAAAATCTGCAACACTTCGCGCGCGCTCTTTCACTGTCCTGTTGACCATGTCGCGTGGAAACCAGAAGCACATGTCTATCACAAGCCATACATATGCTCTCAAACAGACAATAATTTGGCCGTGGGCTAGCAATGAGGTTCTGGCGTGCCTCACACCTCTCTTGAATCCAAACTCTACGGTTTCTGATCGGGATCTTACCTTGTACGGTTTGCCAGCCCACGTTGTTTTCATTTCACTTGGTTGCGGGGAGAGCAAGAGTGCGACTAGTGCTAGCGTGGCATGTCCCCCCTCACCCCCCTCTCCCATTCCCAATCGTGCCTAGTCTAGGTGAGGCATCCACACCCTCTCTTACCATTCGTTGATCTCTTTTCTCTTTAAGGGAATTCGTATTGACCGTTTCGGGCCCGCAGGATTTCCTATTTTTCGCAATTCTCACACGTTTGAAGTTTTCAAAACGCGATAAAATCGCCAGGATTAATGCAAATTGCTTCCCACAGAAGGGATCCATTGTAGACCCCGGAGAGTCATGTGTAGACCATGCGGCGCACTTGGGCGTTGGAAGAGTGTGGTGGACAGCAGGATATCCTCTCCATCGTCGAGGTTATCTTCCAAATTAAAATCACACACATACATTCCCAGGTATACAACAAAACCCCCACCCACCGTTATGATCGCACTCCAGTGGTCAGAATACCAATGGTGGGCTTGGTCGGTCCCCTCCGACACACGTCCAAGATCACTGGGACTCCTTACTCCCCTTCTCTATAGGTTATTGTCTCACTTATTAACCGTATTGCGGCGTCGTCCTTTTCGACATAGAACACCAGCACGCGACCACGTGGCCGCTCAGGAGAGTAAGCTTATGAAACCTTGCTCACCTCTTTGCCCCTCCCCTGGCAGACTCTGGTGGCCCCCGGCATTCGAAGGATGCCGACGATAGAAATCCGCAAAATGTAATGCACGTTGGGGGATTATTAGAGGCTGACACGTTCAAAGCCAACGGTAGGAATTCAGCGCATGGGACAAAGCCACTCTCCTTGTCGTGGTCGACGGCTTTCTTTTGTTGGCGGCTGACACCTGTCTTTGGTGAGATGCCCGTATGACCGGAGTTTTGGACTAGCCTACTATTCACATTCTCGGGGCTGTAAACCACTTTGGTAGTATTGTTAGGGAACCAGGTCGTGCTCGACGGGGCTTGGATCGACAGCGGTACTCGCGCTCCACGCATCTTGGTATCCTCTTCATGGCTCTGGCGCGCATTAAAGGGCACTTTACATCTGACATGGGATATGTTAGGGAAGCGAAAAGGTTTTATTGCGTGTTTTTGGTTACATAACTCGACGTGGTAGAGGAGGACCACTAGCGAGGGTGCAGGTGTCACAAGGCTGGTAGCCAATCGTAGCTATGTACAATGGTCTAGAACACGAGTAAGAATCAATAATACAAGTTTCGTTCCATGACAAGTTGTTTTGCGCTGTGTGTCAGTATATTCATTTACGATTGGTACTTGTCAGCGTAGAACCCGAGTTCGCCTGCTGGGTCTTCTCGCGTTTCTGGTCCAGCGTTCCCCAGGGAAATCCATGACAAAATTGATGATGCAACGAAAATTAAGGCTCGGACCCTTGTGCTCAAATTCGGAAGGAGCGCGCAATTGGGAATCTCGGCCGGGGCGCGTGCACAGACCGTAATAAGCAGGGAGGGTGATTGAGGTCTATCCCTACACATAAATTAGTACATACATAATCATAGTGGTATGTTGCGTTACCTCTTCTCTGGTACGATTAATTTTTCATAGAACATTTCTTGTCAGAAACGAGAGGAAGCGCGAGGATTCGCCTATCATTCATCCGCGATCATACCATCCATATGCTTATTCTTTTGCAAGCGTCAAGATTGAGATCCGCCCCGATCACTTAATAGTAATCATTGTCAAGAGTTAGGGGGTGGCCCTCTAAGAAGATCGAAGAGGGTCGCTTGGTTGGAACCGCCAACCGCCCGAGTGGTCCAAAACGGTACAGCGCTTGTCGCGCGCGATCCTCCAAACTCCTCCCGTTCTCCTTGGACAAAGCTGTAGCGCCGAAAGGCCCAAATCATATATAAATCTCTGGAAAACATTCTTAGCGCGCAAATGTCGTGAGATTTTGGGGGAAGCTGTCGTAACATCATCGTCCACTCATCGTCGCCCGCTATATTTGATGATCGTTGGGGTAGAGTATGGCTGTGGCTGGCCCATCAAAATCGACATTTTATTGGGCACATTGACTTGCCAAAGACGCAATCGAGGGTCCGCCTTCCCTTCTCCCCCCTTCATGCAGGTTTGGCGTGATAATTCATTCACATTTCCTGAGACGTAATACTCCTTAGATCCGAGTTGTTGGTAATCTTGCAATCTTATTCAGCTGCCGGCCAGTCACTAAAGCTTGCGAGCTGAGGAGGCCTCAGGGGAAGCGAGCGCGGAAGCAGTGACGATTAGGAGAAGGCCCTTCCCTCTCCCGTGTCCGCACTTTGCTACGCCACGTATCGAGAGCAAGTAATTATTGCCATTTGAGAGAGAAGTACACGTCGACATCTTTGACAGGAGTCCTTCTCCCTCCTCCTCTCCGTTTGCCGCACTTTTCTCTTCCAATTTGGGATTTGATATTCGCTGGGCCGTCCCGTCAATTTGGTCATGGTGGACAAGCCGGTGGAGGACTTCTCTCGAACAGGACGGGAATTTGCCCTCGTCGCCTGCGCTACCATCCACTCCATCGGAAGGAGGAGGGGGGATGTACGAGCTGGGCCGTCGCCGCAGAAGGCCGTTAGCGTTGACGAGGCCCGTTCGTGGGTTCGAAACCACGCATAGGGTCATCTAGATGATCATCTGGCGTCATGCAACGCTATCTTGGTCATCCCATTGGACGGTCAAGACCACTCGGGGGGAACGGCGCGTCGAAAGCTTTATGTAAAAAAAAACACCTTACCCGGTTCGACTGTGTGTGTGCCTTTTGCTTTTGCGCGCCGTGGCGAAAAGGTATTATTTTCTCGATCTCTGACATGTGGAAATTCAGGGAGATTTCGGTCGCAATATAGCGGGAGGGGAAGGAGGGAGACTGGTTTCGACGGTTCCTTAGTGCCACCACCTATCCCTCGCGGTCGGCCGGGGTGTGGATAAACGAATAAGTAATCTAGAACGTCGAATGTCAAATAAAGAATTTGCTCTTCCACCTAATTTACAAGCCGACTTTCTGGGGTCCTCTTGCGATCCCAACTCCCTGACTGAACTCCCTCCCAACGAATAGAAAACCACTCCTAC